TCAGATTAGTTTTTGTTATGAGTATATATAAAACAAATTACTCTGACTTTTAGAGTTACATTTGGAAGTCATCTCTGAAGATTAAAAGTCAAACATGAAAAAAGTTCACCACTTCACACCTGTTTTCTCCGGATTACTTACAATACACCCAGCGTTTCCATCTTTATATAGAATTGAAGTTTTAGCTATCGAAGATGCTACAGTCTGCTAATCATAACGGAGAGTTCAGTATGTAAAATAACTCAAACATTAGTAGTCGTTTGTTTCCAGCAACAGTTGATCATGTTCAATTTAAAAGTTCGAAATCTTCTCTCTGATTTCGACTTTTACAGATCGTATTAGGCTTAGCGAAGGATTAGGTTAATCCCAACAAAGTGTAAAAAAACAAAAACTCAAACATTAGTAGTCGTTTATTTCCATTAACGGTTGATCATGTTCAATTTAAAAGTTCGAAATCTTCTCTCTGATTTCGACTTTTACAGATCGTATTAGGCTTAGCGAAGGATTAGGTTATACGTGTGTATACAAACAGAAAGAAACTATTGACGAAGATTTCTCTCTGAAAACCATCAGTATTAAATTCGAACAAAATCGTCGAAGAAATACACTCAATTACAAGTATTGTAAGGCTAAAGTAATATAGTGGTAAGCTGAGTAAGAAGTAAATACACGAAACACACAAATTATTATACGGGAGTACGAGTACAGACTGTGTAAAACGTTACTACATGAAACATGTACAATGTCTGTATAGTGATACGGGACATCTTGTGAACGAAAATATAACAAAGTTTAAAACCATTGTTTCCAACTAAGAGTGTAAATACATTGAATACGGAGTTAATTCATTACACATAGACTGTGACACATGAAAAATGCGAAAGCTATACAAAGTATCTGCGAATAACTTCCAAGAAATCAGTAAAACTCCCTTCTTTTACTTTAGCCCATCACAAAGTCTGATTAATACGCAGAAAGAGTCTCAACTCAAATGGATAAGACAAAATAATTAGCTAAAAAATAGAGCATCGATGGGTTCATTTCTATAAAACAAAAAACAATAAATACAGCTAAACAAGAACGTATACACGAACTGGTTGGTCTGCTTTATCTGTGTAAAACATTAAATACAGCAAAACAAGAACGTATACACGAACAAGTTGGTCTGCTGTATCTGTGTAAAACAATAAATACAGCAAAACAAGAACGTATACACGAACTATACGTGTATGTGGATGTTGGAGGACCAGTGGTTTGGTATGGGTATTTATACGTGTATGTGGATGATGGAGGACCAGTGGTTTGGTATGGGTGTTTATACGTGTATGTGGATGATGGAGGACCAGTGGTTTGGTATGGGTATTTATACGTGTATGTGGATGATGAAGGACCAGTGGTTTGGTATGGGTACACGTTTGAGTAAGTGTGGATGATGGAGGACCAGTGGTTTGGTATGGGTATTTATACGTGTATGTGGATGATGGAGGATCAGTGGTTTGGTATGGGTATTTATACGTGTATGTGGATGATGAAGGACCA